GCTATGCTATGCTGCGTTATGCTATGCTATGCTATGCTATGCTATGCGTTTGCTTTGCCTTCGTTTTTGCCTTCACGATTGCCTTTGCTTTTGCTTTTGCTTGGCACCCAGGGAGCGCAACTGGGGGAACCGCGCGTTTGCTTTTACCTTTGCTGTTGCTTTTGCTTGGCTCCCAGGGGACTGGGGGAACCGCCCGGGGCGTTTGCACTGCCCGGCCCCTTTAAGCCAAGCGAGTAAGAACCCTTCTAGGCAGAGCCTAGGTAGGGAAATATAACAACTCGGAGGTCTGCGCGGATTTCTCGGATCGGCGCTGGAGACCTCTGGCAGCGCCTCTGGCGCCGCCCCTGGCGCGCTCTGCGCGCCAAGGAGGGGGGTCCAACGCCGATCCGAGAAATCCGCGCGGACCTCAGAGTTTTTATATTTATGCCATTGTTTGTTTCCCCAGTTCTGGAGGGTGGGGCTGCGGCCTCCTCGGAGGACTTCGTCACCAGTGCTGGATTCGCCTCGGAGTTGTGGTCGGTGCGCGCCTCATGGGGAGGTCCGAGACGGCCGATTTCGCTATGAGCGTTCAGCATCCACGGGCCCATGTAAGGCTTCTGGGGCCGTGCAAACACGGGCACGGGATGAGCAAGCCCTTTGGGAACCAGGTCGAGAGGTCCAAGTGCCACGACAATTAAATCACACTGGAGAGAACCCCCAAAAATCAGTATATGTCTTAGATAGTCCGCATGCAGGCCACGCCTGCCCTTTCCTTTTTGTGTGTTTTCTTTTTTTGTTTGTCTCTCTCTCTCTCTCTCTCTCTCTCTTTCTCTGCATAGCTCTATCTTCTCTATGTGTTCGATGGTGTATGTTTCATATACCTAGGGGATCTGCTTAACTTGACTTGCCCTCACACCTCGCTCTGCACTTGTTTCCACAGATCCTTACAGACATGCTCTCAGCTCCATGCACATGTATGTGTGTATATAACAAAAACAAATAGGCCGGGCCCCCTCCCGGGGCGTCCTCCAACTCGATCACATGTGGGTTACGCTCCCGGTACCGCGTTTCCCGGCCTCCCGGGGAGCCCCCCAAATGCCCTAAGACAGCCCAAGACGACCCCAAGAAGCCCCCAGAACGTAAAAGAACGGCCCAAGACGCTCCCAAGCAACCCAGGATACCTTTCGGGCGGCTCTCCAGGCTCCCAGGAGGCCTCCAAGAGACCTCAAGAGAGCTCCGAGAGGCCTCCCGAGAGCGCCCGGAGAACGTAAAATTGTGAATTGTCATTGTTTTTCATTGTTTTTGGCTTTCTCATTTCATGATTCCAACGCTCCAACACGGCCGAAGAGGCCCCCAAGACCCAAGACCGCCCCAAGACCGCTCAAGAGGCCCCCAAGACGGCCCTAAGAAGGGCCAAGACGGCCCCAAGACTGCCGAAGAGGCGCCCAGGACAGCTCCAGACCACCCCGGAACAGGCCCAAGATGAGCCCAAGAGCGGGAGCAGGAGGCCTCCAGAGACCTCCGAGAGGACTCCGCGACCCTCCAGAGGCCTTCAACACACCCCAGACCCCTGAGAGGCCCCCCAGGAAGCCCCGACGAGGCCCCCAAAACAGCCCAAGAGAGCTTCGAGAGCTTTCCAGTGGTTTTGTCTGCGTTTTTCGCCTTCTCAGGTTTTCCCGCTTCCAACGCTCAAAGGCCGAGGAACTTGAAAAATGATGATTTCAGAAATTATGTTTTTCAAGTTGGGGCTCCTACTCCCTATCCTCTTCCTCGAGCCCCATGAAGACTTCGGAATCACATGCAAAGATGTGTCGGGAATATTGTTGAACTCTCTGACGCTGTCTTGGCACTCTCTTGGATCGTCTTCGCGTCCTTTTGGCTTCCCCTGAAACCACCATAGAAATCCAGATCCCATGATCCCATGAGTCGGAACATTTAAATTCCTTTCATTTCAAACTCACCACATTCTTATTGTTGCACGAAGGTCCCGAGAGGCATCCCAACGGACCGTGGCCTGTATCTAGAACATTTCTAACCCACAGATCCCACAATTCGTTTGTTTGTCCAGTTGTCCCCCTGTCCACTCTTGCGCAATAGACCACACTTACTGCCCCCCTCAGCTCCCAGAGAAGAAACCGGGAAGGCTTTGAGGGCCCCAAACAAATCGTTGAATACCTGACGGGAAGTAATGATTTCCGCTTTTCCGCAGTTCCCTTCCCATACGGTTCCGAGGCTTGTGCAGGGCCTCCAAGAGAGTCCCTGGATGCAAGAAGCGACAAACATGATATTCCATGGTTTAGCCCATCAAGCCTAGCTAGAACTTGAGCGCGCGCGAAACGCGCGCGATGGTTCTAGTATGTGTATATATGTGTATATACCTATACGACCGCCCTTCGGGTGAAAAGGAGGTTGTGGGGGGGGAGAGGGGGGGGGAACCAACATCTGACTAAATCGATCTCACGAACGATCTCATTCAACGGGACACCACGGGGCACCACGGGACATTTGTCGATCTCACTATCGATCTCACTCAACGGGACACCGCGGGACACCTCTCTATCTCACTATCGGTCTCACTATCGATCTCATTATCGATCTCACCCAACGGGCCACCATAGGACACAACGGGACACCTCGGGACTTCACATCGATCTCACTATCGATCTCACCCAACGGGACACCACGGGACACCACGGGACACCTGTCGATCTCAGTATCGATATCACTATCGATCTCACTTTTTGGGACACCACGAGACACCTCGGGGCACCACATCGAGTTCAGTATCGATCTCAATATTGATCTCAATATCGATCTCATTCAACGGGACACCACGGGACACCTGTCGATCTCACCATCGATCTCACTTTTTGGGACACCACGGGACACCACGGGACACGTCGGGACACCGCGGAACACCGCGAGCCACCGCCGGACGGGCGGGCGGGGGATAATCATTTGTCTTGACTTCGCTTTAGCAGCGGCGGACACCACGGGACACGAGCGGGACACCGGCGGGACACCGTGCGCCACCGGCCGCCGGAGGAGAATCATTTGGTCCGGCCGCGGCCCAGCCACAGGAGGATTTCGGGACACCAGCGGGACCGGCGGGACACCGCGAGCCACCGGCCGCCAGAGGAGAATCATTTGGTCCGGCCGCGGCCCAGCCACAGGAGGATTTCCTCTCGCCCGCCCACGCAGCTTCGCCTCGCCTGCACGCACGCACGGCACGCACGACACGAACCCGAAACCCAAATCGATTTCCCGGTAGGGGGGTCTCGTTTCACGTCGGACTCACCCCCCAACCTCCGACATATGAAATCAATGTTAATGTGTGTCTGTCTCATTGCTTTGTTCCTCGCTCTTCCTCGCTCTCTCTCTCTCTCTCTCTCTTCATGTACTTCTCTCTCTCTCTGTCTCTCTCTTCTCTCTCTCTCTCTCTATACCCAACTTCGCCATCTGCTGTCTGTATTCGATATGTGCTGTATACCGTCTCGCTTTGACCTCCCCATCCATCCTTCGATATGGTATATCACAGTGTTCGTAAGTATGTTCTCTTTCCTTTTTTCTCTCTCTCTCTCTATATATATATATAAAGATATATACATATATGTATATATGTATATATATATATATGTCCAATCCCTCTGATCAGATCTGCTCGCAACTTTCTGACCCATATGTATATATACTCTTGACAATCACAGACCCAAGCACTTGGCCACAACCAAGGCATTCAGAACCCAAGAACCTTACGCTGCCAGGAAACCAAGGACGGGAAAAGGGGGAGCCAGAAACCCACCAAACATTACACTGCCAGGGACCCAGGAATCGGGAACAGGGAGCCTGGGAACCCAGCCGCCCACCGAACCGGGAACCCAGGAACCTAGCCAATTGTACATTGTCGGGAACCATGGAACCGGTAACCGGTAACCCAGCCAACCTTGTGTTGCCAGGAACGGGAACCCGCGAACCCAGCCGACCTTCCATTGCTTGGAACCCCGGAGCCAGGAATTGATAACCCAAGAAACCCAGGCGCCCACCGAAATCGGCCCGGAACCCGGAATCGGGAACCCGGGAACCTGGAACAGGGAACTTGGGAACCCAGCCGCCCACGGAAATGAACTCAGGACCTCCGCCAAGTCCTCCAATCTCCGCGAGGGCCTCTTCAGTGCACGCATTGATTGGAGAGAATTGTGACGTCGGAGGTCTGGGGGCGTTGCCCACGCCTTCCGCTAAAAGCCTGGCGGAACCCGACGCAGTCAGAATTTTGCGGCAGATGCCTAGAGGCCTCGTAGGCGGATTTCAGTGGACTCTTCGCATAATTCAAGAGAAGAAGAGTAGGTTTGCAAGCCGCTTGCGACCTCCAGTTCTCTCACACAATCCCGGTCGAGGTCATGGCTCGGCCACGCGCGGAGGGGGGTAGGGGGAGGGGGGAAGGGTTCTTAGGAGCACCACTGCGTCTTAGAAGCAGGCGATCGCAAACATGGATCAAGGGGACGTGGATTAGCGACGGGTCGCGTTTCCCTGGGAAATCGTAGATTTCTGCCGCCGAGCGAGGCGGCACGGACCACATTTTGGGGACGGCATTTCCTCCGATCCAAGGATTTGGCGACCGCGCGCCAAATCCAAAGATCGCTAATCCACGTCTGCGCGCCCCCGATAGAAGGCGCGGGCCTTGTCTGTAGATGGAAGGCCGGCGCCTTCTAAGAAGCAGCCTCCTTCTAAGAAGCCTTCCCCCTCCCCTTGCCCCCCCCCTGCGCGCCGCCAAATGGCGCTCCATTTGCACACAGCTGGTTTGGGGGTTGGCCTCGTGTGTCGGGGCCCGCCGAACAGCGCGGGTGGGGCCCAGAGTTGAGTCGGGCCTGTCCCTCAACAGGAGGAATATTCAAACATTGTCCAACAATAGTCACGGGACGATCTTTCTATCATCATTTTAAATATGATTGAGTAGTTGTTGACCAAGCCCAGGGACATGAACGCACCTTGCGCGGATTACGGCTTGCGGCGCCCCCCAACAGGAGGGCGCGGTGGCGGCGCTCTGCGAGTCGCTCCGCCCGCGGCCGCGGCCGTCGCCTCTGCCGTTGCCGACTCGCTCCGCTGGCCACCCCGCTAAATTGAAGTCGGGCTGTCCCTCTGGGGACGATCTTGCGATTATTGGTTGACTGTGTTTGAACACGCTTGGACCATTTCTAATGTTTCGCCCAATAGCCGCCTGTGGGAGGACATGCCCAACCTAACGCTAAGCAGAAAGGTCTGACGCCCACTCCCGTGGACGAGGTGCGCTCTTGCTGTCCCCGCCGCATGAGGCGTCCTCATAATCAAGACTGTTGGCCCAAGCGTGCGATGCCTCATCGAACTCGTGTCCCCCGCTACAGCACCGCTGCGAGACATGATCGCAGCTCTTCCCCTGGCTTCAGCAGCTGGTCTTGATCGCAAGAACTCCTGCGCGAAGCATCGTGTGGAGTTCCAGCTCCCCGTTACGGATCCCGTGGGCGAAGCAATCTAGACCTGGACAGGTCGCCCCTGTGAAGCAGCTGGCCCCGCGACCTCAAGGGACGAGGAGCAGGCAGAGGGCAGAGGGGGGGCAAGGAGCCGGGGCAGGAGGAGGAGGCGGTGGAAAAGCACGTCGCCGCCCCGCAGTCAGAATGCTGGAGCGAGGACCACCCGTGTTCAGACAGGGGCTCGGGATTTTTGTTGTTTTTCTTCCGCTCTTCAGCCTGGGCGCATTTGGGACCACAGAGGGGCTCTGGCACTTACAGTTGAGGCCCATGCCAAGAAACACCCTGCTTGCCTCCAGGTTGCCTTGGGTTTCGTAGATTTCGATGGTGTTGCTATGGAACGCGTGGCGTTCCCACGCCAAAAATCAATGGACGTCCTGGGGTCTCAGGGTTGGGTTTCTTGTGGAAGGGCCCCTACTGTATTCGGTGCTCCTCGTGGCAGGGCTCCGACCGGTCCCGCACCCGCCGCTGGCGTGCGGGGGCCCTTGCCGCACAGGCTGATGCGGCGCTGGCCCGCCGACGCCGACGTGCTCGCAGGCGCCTGGGGGGGCCAGGACCGGCACTTCACCCGCTCGCAGCCGCCCGCCATCCGACCCGCGCACGTCCCCCTTGGTGGGCTTGTTTACCACCGCCGCCACCAAAAGTAGGAGGAGGAGGGGGTCCTCCTTCTCCTCGTCCTCCTCCTCCTCCTCCTCTTCCTCCTCTTCCTCCTCCTCCTTCTCCTCCTCCTCCTCCTCCTCCTCCTCCTCCTCCCCCTCCTCCTCCCTCCTCCTCCCTCCTCCTCCTCCCCCTCCTCGTCCTCTCTCCTCCTCGTCCTCCTCCTCCTCCTCTCTCCTCCCTCCTCCTCCTCCTTCTTCTCCTCCTTCCTCCCTCCTCCTCCTCTTCCTCCTCTCCTCCTCTCTGCCTCCTCCTCCTCCCTTCTCTTCGTCTCGTTCTCCTCCTCCTCTCCTCCTTCCTTCTCCTCCTCCTGCTCCTCCTCCTCCTCCTCCTCCTCTCATCTTCCTCCTCCTCCTCCTCTTCCTCCTCCTCCTCCTCCTCCTCGTCCTCCTCTCCCCCCCGCTCGAGCGAAGATCTCTAGGCCTCCCAGATGGGGTCGGAGCGGATGGGGTCGGAGGATCGCGCCGCACCGCCGATGCATCGGCGATGCATCGACGATGCGGCTTGAAGTGGGGCCCAATTTTCTCCACGCCCACATCGCTGATGCGTCGCCGACGTCGCCAGTGCATCGCCGATGCACCGCTGATGCATCGGCGATGCGGCGAGCTCCTACGACCCCATCTAATCGGACCCAATCTAGGAGGCCTCTAATATCCATTCCCTCGAAGAAGCCGAAAACACGAGACACCTACATGTTCGGAGCTCTCCGCGCGGACCTCCGAGAGTCTGTGTTCGTGTCGTTCCCTCTTCCTCTGCGTCCACATCTTCGCGGTCTGCACATCGAGGCGGGATCCCCATCGATGCGCGAGCCACGAATGCGTTCCGAGCGGGGCATCCGCGCGCGGCCGCCCGGCTTCCACGAGGTCGGTTTCCCCTGGGGCCGTAGGCGACCCGAGGAGGAGGAGGAGAAGGAGGAGGAGGAGGCGGTGGAGGAGGAGGAGGGGGAGAAGGGGGAGGGGGAGGAGGAGGAGGAGGAGCATGAGGAGGAGGAGGAGGAGGAGGAGGAGGAGGAGGGAGGAGGAGGAGGAGAGAGATGATGATGATGATGATGATGATGATGATGATGATGATGATGATGATGATGATGATGATGATGATGATGATGATGATGATGATGATGATGATGATGATGATGATGATGATGATGATGATGATGATGATGATGATGATGATGATGATGATGATGATGATGATGATGATGATGATGATGATGAGATCATGATGATGATGATGATGATGATGATGCTGATGATGAAGATGATGATGATATGCGATGATGCTGATGATGAGATGATGATGACGATACGATGACGATGACAAGACGATGACGATGATGATGATTGAAGATGATGATGCTATGAGCTGATGCTGATGCTGATGCTGATGCTGATCTGATGATCTGATGATGATGATGAGATAGACGAGAACGATAAGATGATGATGAGATGATGATGATGAGATGATGAGAGATGCTGATGCTGATGCTGAGCTGAGCTGATGCTGCTGATGCTGATGCTGTGCTGATGCTGATGCTGATGCTGAGCTGATGATGGCTTGCTGATGATGATGATGATGAAGAAACGATTGGATGAATGATGATGATGATGATGATGAGATGATGATGATATGATGATGATGATGATGATGATGATGATGATGATTATGATCCTATCTGATGCTGATGCTGATGCCTATGCTGATGCTGAATGCTGATGCTGATGATGCTGATGCTGATGCTGATGCTGATGCTGATGATGAATGATGATGATATGATGATAGACGATAACGATGACGAGACGATGACGATGACGATGACGATGACTGACGATGATGATGATGATGATGATGATGATGATGATGGTGATGGTGGTGATGATGATGATGATGATGATGATGATGGTGGTGATGATGCTGATGATGATGATGACGATGGTGGTGGTGGTGATGGTGATGACGATGGTGGTGGTGGTGATGGTGATGATGCTGCTGATGATGATGCTGATGATGATGATGCTGCTGCTGATGATGATGATGATGATGATGCTGTTGTTGATGATGATGAGGAGGAGGATGCTGATAATGTTGATGATGATGATGCTGATAATGCTGATGATGGTGATGATGCTGCTGCTGCTGATGATGATGAGGAGGAGGAGGAGGAGGAGGAGCAGGAGAGGAGGATGAGGAGGACGGGTCGCCTAAGCCCTCTGGAGAAACCCTCCAACCCCCAGATCTATCCCCAGCGTCTGGGAGTCAGAGCGCACAAGTGGCCCCGACTGCACCACGACCGCGAGCCCGCGGGCAGCTGGAAGGGCTCCGCGACGGGGGCGAGCCCGAGGGAGAGGGGGTGGGCGCCTGATCCCCCCACCCCCCCTTCACGCCTTCCTCTCCTCACCCTCCTTCCCCCTTCATCCCCTCCTCTCCTCACCCCCCCCCCTTCATCCCCTTCCTCTCCTCACCCTCCTTCCCCCCGTGGCCTCCCAGGTGGCTTGGCACCGTGGCCCCCCCCCGCGCCCCCCCCGCAGCCGTTTTGCCTGCGGGCGGGCGCCGCGGGGCCCGCGCCATAGCCCCCGCGCCGGCTGCCCGCTGCTGCGGGCGCCCGCAATCGTGGCGTCGAGGGACCGCTCGCGCAGCCCTGCGTGGCATAGGCGGGAGCGCCGCCTGAGGTCTCGTGCGAGGTTCGTGCTGCGGCTGGCCGCGGCCCGCACCAGACTGGCTGGGCATCACGGCGACCGTGGGAGCTGCGTTGGCATGGCCCAGCAGGTGCCCAAGCAGGGTGCCGCCCCGCCCCAGCAGCAGAACTGGCCATGTGCGGCATCGAGGCTATGCGGGTTCCGCAACAACTTCCCCAGCCGTGACACGTGCTGGAAGTGCGGCAGAGACCGCCTTGGGCGCGCGGTCCGCGAGTCGCCCACCGCCTCGGAGCAGGGCGCGAGGTCCACCTCCGCGGGCCGCCGCCGCCGCTCTGGCCCTCCTCGTGCTCGTGGTGGTCCTCCAGATGGCGCTGCTCATGGAGAACCTGCTGGGCCCGCAGTCGTGCGCGCCAGGCAGGGTCTGGCAGCTCTTCAGAAGCTCGGCTACGCCGAGGAGCACCCGCTCGTCCAGGCAGCTCGACAGGAGCTCGCTGCCCTGGAGGCGGAGGAGCGCCGTGCTCAGCCCCCCGAGCAGCTCCTGGTCTCCCTCCAGCAGCGCGTGGGTACGGCACGTGCTCGGGCCTCACAGCTGGCGGACGACCTCGTGGTGGCCCTTGCGAAGGTCGACGACCTCCGCAGGCAGCAGGGCATGGCCGACTCGGAGGTCAAGAGCCTGGAGGTCGAGGTCCAGGCTGCTCAGCAGGCCGTGGCGGCCTCGGCGGCGAGCTCCAGCGGCGTTGACTTGGCAGCCCTCGCCTCCACGCTGGTCGGCCTCCAGGCCACGCTCGCCACCGCTCCCGCGCGCGTCGCCAGCGGCCAGGGTATCCATGTCCTGGAGGCGATCGGGCAGCAGGTTGCAGCGCTTGGCACAGCGTTCCCTGCCGCCTCGGCCCTCACGCCCCCAGGTGCCGCAGCCGCCCCCGCCGCCGCTGGAGCAGGGCCCCCAGCAGGATCCTCGCCCGCAGCTGCAGCTTCCCCCGCGGCCGCGCTGCCGCCTGGCGCTGCATGCGCGTTTCGCGCAGGCGGGGGAACCGCCGCTGCCGCCTGGGAGGACGCAGGCGAGGCCGACATGGAAGGCTAGATGCCGTGGGCGTCGAGGCCGCGCCCGTGTGCAAGCCTCTTTCGTCGCCTACAGCGGTTCTTCCTGGGCGTCGTGCAGTGAGTTTCTGGCCCATTGCGATCCTGGCATCCAGGTTGTGGCGGCTCAGGAGCTGCGCATCGATGGTGACGACCGTCGGCGTGCTGAAGGCTGGGCAGCGCGATCGGGGTGGCATGCTATTATTTCCTCGTGCCGACGTCTGGAGTCAGGGCGGCCTTCTGCTGGAGTGGGTATTTTCATTCGGCGGCACATCAGTGTGACGGAGCTGCCTGGACTGAAAGGTTTTGACCTGATTCCGAGTTTCTGTGTGGCGTGTCATGCGGTTTTTGGTATCAGAGGTGGTCTTGTGCTATTGTCATGCTACTTTGAAGTTGGGCGATGGAGCGACGTGAATGTGATGAGGCTCTATGACATCGCTACAACGCTGCGAGGTTGGAACAGGCCGTTTCTGATGGCGGGTGATTTCAACTGCGATCCGAAGCATATTGGCGAGTATGGTTTCTTGGACTTCATCCCTGCTGCAGTGGTCGCTAGGCCCCCTGCTCTTGCAGGGCAACTTCCTGTGGGCACGTGCCGCAGCGCCCAGGGTTCCTACGACAATCGATTACTGGCTGGCCAGCTTGTCCATTGCGAGCTCGCTGGCGCAGCCTGTGCCTGTGGACGGCTGGCCTGCATCGCCGCATTTCCCGATGGTGACGTCCCTCGACGCGCGGGCCAAGGCTGTCAAGTTCCTCGTCCTGCGGGCGCCGAAGGCCTTTCCGAGGGAGGCCCCGACCGAGGATGTCACGCCTGTGCTGGTGGATCGTACTCGCGATCTCATCGAGGAGGATGTTGTACTGGGAGGTGAGGCGACCCCTGTTCAGGCTCAGGCGCGGCTGGACCACCTGTACGCTGAGTTTATGAACGTCGTGGAGGAGGAGTTACTGGTGCGTTATGGTGTTCCTGCGGTCGACGCTCCTCGCTACTGCGGTCGTGCTGGCAAGGTGGCATACAGTTGGCGCCAAGCTGGAGGAGCGCCAGCAGCTGCGAGGCCTGCCGCCCCTCCTGACGCTCGGCGTGCGCGACGCCTGGCTCAGGCTGCTGACGATGCGCTGCGTGCTAGGCTGCAGCCCCTGGCTTTACTTCGGCGCTTAGACAGACTCGTCTCT